CACGCGCGAACGCACCCAACAGTCGTGCAGATCTCATCTACACGCATGCACGCGACTCCAGAAAATCACGCTCGAAATAAAACAACTTATTACTACTTTAATTTACAACTTTTTAATAATAATAATGGAAGATGATGATTGATTCAGGCGTTATTTTTGGCACTCCCCATAGTTAGTTTCGAAAATGGTCTAGTAGTTAGTCGTCAAAAGTATTGACGACCGTGTAGGCAATATGCACGAGCAGTGTGTGTGCGTGCGTGTGCGTGTAGGTAGGTGTAACTCTAGCGGAAGACATCTGTCCCATCCTCTTCTCAACCTCTGCGACGCCTCTCTCCGCCTCGCCTTTAATGATCCAGCTACGTTGGCATAGCGTAGATGGCCTACAAGTGAAATCAGGTTACCACATCGAATACGACGTTAAACCATCCTATGATGTGATGTAAATGTAAAATAGTGACACTACACGTCATTCCTCAATAAATAATATATATATATATATGTGTGCAAATATAACATTGTAATTTTTGCATTACAGTACGAGTAATATCAATTTTAAATCTGCCTATTTTCATATATTGTTATTTGTATATATATTTTATTGCAATGTTTATATTATGTGTGTCATATTAAGCTGTAAATACTGGCCATATAGAGGTAAACGGGTTCGTTTAAATTCCGGTCATTATAATTATTTCACGCAATACTGATGTAAAACGACGTTTAGTTTTGTTTAAACCAATTATGATATCGAATTATGCCGTTAAAGGTCGCTGGATATGAAGTACATCCATCCATAGCACAGAAATATAACTGGCATAGTGGAGACGCTATACCCGTATAACGTTATTTGGGATATATTATTAGAACTTAGAATCTTACATCAGTAGTGTGAAACACTAAGCCACATTAAAACGCTTCATCGATGCCTAATAAAAAAATTACAAGAGCGCCTATAAAGCGTGAAATCGTTTGTTTCTCTACTCTGATTAAATCGTGACTTTTATACTGGAAATTTAGATATGAGAAAAATGACATTTTTAAAGAAACTAAGTAAATGTGCAAAGTACTCAATTAGTACCAGATTACTGTCATATTAAAAAAATCGCTAGTTGTGATACCATGAATGATGATTGATCTATCAAATATTATACGTATAGCCGATCATGGCAATACATTACAGCAATAGCTGCGTCGTTCTTGCTCACAAATCTAGAGGCAAACTAGACTTTAACTCCACGTTACTCGCTTAACAAAACGGTGCTATCATTGAAATTGCATTCGACCACAATACCTAAACGCACATTTACATCTACAACCGCTAGAATAGATAATGTTAGGTATAATACATGGTGAGTAGAATTATCTGCTGATATGCATCCAATTAGTATTAGACCACACTATTTTCATAGGAACTGATTATTTTTAAACCAACCATACCGAATAGTGGAATAAAATACAATACCGAATACGCATGCGTCAAATTACTCAACGAAAATCCGCCGCACACCCGAGTAAAATGACTCATGCGTCATTTTACTTGAGTACAATTACTCACGTGTGCGCCAGGCTTACATCGCTTCCAACAATTGAAAAGGAATTAAATCCATATAACAAAGAATTTACAGCTCAATCGTCCATAATAGGCCTACGTTAAAAAGTTATAAAGATAAACGAAGAAATTCTTTTGCTACTACGGATGTTGGTTATTATGTTGGTTGGTATACATCAATTTGTAGATTAAAATGTACTGAAACTGGGAAATATACATTCATAGGATGACAAAAGATATACACAAAGATGGACAAAATTGTGTAAAAACACCATAATTTTATTTACCATACTAAACCCTCCCATCCTACGTACATGATTTACCATGGATAAAGGAAATAATCGCATCCACCACCCGGAAATAAATAATTACATTAAACCCTATTATATTGTTTGGGCAGCATCCATAAGATTGTGTAGCAATTAGGTTGCTTACTAATTTTCTAGCAGGGCAATAATACCCATATTCATTTATAATTCAAGGACACATTGAAAGATTACAAAGAAGGCAACAAAAAATGGGACATATATAGGGATATATAAGACAATGTTGGGTAATGCAATGGCCATATCATATACAGCATATACTGGGTATAGTACCATGCTGAACATCTCTGTGCACTGCTGTTGTAAATTCAGCAATAAATATTGGATATAAAAACCTATAAAATCTATATGTAATGTTTTAGCATGATATACCCAAATTACATGCTTGGAATGTTGTACTATTATTACCATATATGCATACAGAAATGCAGTAAACAGAATGTGTGTTTAGGTCTGTCGTATTTTTAGATTCATTCACAAATCGTAAACACTTCATAATCAGCTACAGTGAAATTGTAATCACCCATGAGAATGCTATTTGATGCCTGGTCTGTCGTATATGAGTGAGGTAGGTTAGAATAAGACTCCATGTTTGTGTCACAGTTGCTGGAAATGCATAGGTCTGCACCTGCGCCAAATATTGGTCCAAAACTGAAAATGCAAATCAAATAATGGTATTAGATCAACATCAGGCAAATCACTCAAACTAAAATAACAATTAACAATTATTCACATTGTACGTCACCATTACTAGATAGAATAGCGGGCTTATCACAATTATGATCAAAATAAACTGCCCAAGATTGAATATTAATTATTTGAGTAATAGATTAATCATAATAACATTTCAGGTAAACCAATTATCATGTGCAGAATAATACTCAAATCTATATAAATAAATGAATATAATATATATATATATATATATATATAATAGTAATAAATAAATATATATATATATATATATAATATATCAGGGTATAAATAATCTCAAATGCGGTGATGAATATGATAATGACGATGATTATCATGATGAACTTACTTAGGATGATGGGATGTAGCAAACTTCTTGTTGGCGATGCCAAATTTGGTGGGAGGAACACCCTGATTGTTGACCAACGTGAACAGGAATGCCCTGTGTTCAAGGAATGTCACACACTTACTCATTACATGCAACAATCAGAATATTTTTTACAAACCAGATTCAAAGCATAACACAGCTTCTGCATGCTCCATCATGAGATTAAATAGGCAGTAATCGCAGTGATGCTGTTAATTCCATGATGCCATTAGGCATCGCAGAACAAGAAAGAGTTGGTGTAAAGCATCGTTTTGGATTGAATTGCATAGTTTCCCCAGACGAATTACACAGCAGCTGTATAAAGATAACCATGATTTTACTAACGCAACGGTAGACTAAAATCTTTGCAATTTCAGACCCAGTGCTGCCCACTGGTGGTGAAATTCGAAAGCATTAGCACAATTAGTACGTGAAATCCGCGTGGATAGGGAGAATTAAGTAATAAACGGTGGTATAAAATCTCAGATAAAGCACTGCCTGTTGTATGTGTACGCACATCCACAAACACTGCAATTAACTGAGTTTTACTATAGGCCTAATTACTTTTCAGATGCAATATAACGCCCCCTCTGTGGAGCCTTGCTGGTCCATGGAACATCACTATAACCACCGCACACGTTGCCACGTTGCCCCTATACAAACAATAAGCGGTGTTAATCGACATAGCTACAATAAAGTGATACGCGTGAACATGCGATAAAAAAAACTAATTTTAGTAATAAAGGTCATAGTCCAGTGTTTTCTGAGGTGGGGCTGTGGACAGGTTTTCGTGTGTGTGTGGGGGCTGTAAGATGTATGTGCTGTACATGAAGTAAAACTGTAAGTAAAACACATTTTGAGCACAAGTTAAAATTGTGCACAAAAATACATTTGTTATCAATCGTGTAATACTCCAGTCAGGTATACAGACATCGAAGAAAGAAGTAATTGAACTGGCTTGCAACAAATTTTGAGCATTTTAATTTTACAAGAACTGTTATAAAATATGATATTTTAAAGCAGTTTCTTGTTGCCTAGAAAGCAGGAAATTGCAATATTTCACACTAGTTCCCTTAAAATTTTGTCTGGGAGATCATGCCAGGTGATAGGTGGTCAGGGTGCCCAGTTACCAAGATAAGGCGGTTCCTGGAAATATTGGCGAAATATAGCGGCATTGTTATAGTCCATAGAAGCATAACTACTGCCAAGATGTTTGTACCTACCAAGACAATGATAAAAGTAGGGCAGTATCCATCACAGTGTGTATGGAAGCTTTGAGCAGAGAACCCATCCCTAGAAGCTCTGTATATGAGTTTCCATGCCTGCTTGCTCTCTCCATACCTGCGTGTAAAAACCATCACAACGAAAAATGTAGTAGTGTAGACACTGGGTACTACATTTAAATACATTATGAATTTACATTTTGTATTTCCCTTAATATGGGGTGTTTTTTGGCTAATAAATTTGCAGACATCTTTAGAAACCAGCACTGAGTGTAGTACATCCTACACTACACAAGGATGGGGGCAGTGTGTCAGTGTAAGTGCCAAATTGACCAGCTGTGTGAATGCAGCATGACAGTGGCGTAGTTAGGGGGGGAGGGGCAAAGGGGGCCATGCCAAAGCCCCCCTGTTGATCCCAAGAAGAAAACAAGTGCGCGGCGGCAGCAACAGAAGCGCTCATACTAAGTCTATACTGCGGTGGACTCTGTGGTGGGATTCTAGTAAACCCTTAGTCACCGCAAAATGTGTTCACAATACACGCGAAAGCAGTGGAAATGCGCACAGGATGGTATCAGGCAACGCTCTGCAAAAAGAATGTTCGTTGGGATGGTTATGAAAGTTGCCACGAGATTGGCGCGTAACGTTTAAAGTGTCTTCAGATTAAAGCATGGAAGCTCCCATCATACGTAGAAGCAACAACTATTGAAGAACAGAATAGGTAAGCACTCACCATAATTACCTAGCGCAAGCCTACAGCTGCAAATAGAGAGCTGCCACCTGTAAAGCCAATTAACGGCAGGCAAAATACTACCAGTACCCCACCAAGCACATGGCAGCTGGCAGTAGCCACACTGGCAGTTGCATAACGTTACATGTACATACTGACAGTACAGAATGCCATAAAATTATACGATTAAGGAGCATAACGGCTGTCTTTAACGGCAAATTTAGCTTTTGAAATTTCGACTGTGACATTGTGCCTCATACATCGCAAGGCATGATAGATTCTAACTAGCAAACCCGGCATGTCAAAATTCTTTCTAAACAGACAGTCAACAAATCCATGTTTAAACGCGCTCGCTCTTGAGGGTGCAAAAGGTTATCTGACACTTACTCTTCGCAATGTCAGAGAAAGTTAGAGTTCATGGTCCCCCCTTTTCAATATATGGCCCAAAAAAATGCTAGTCACCACATGAAGACAAAAAAAGTTTTCATCGGCTCCGTTCAGACCATGCAGTCCTACAAGAAAATGTTAAAATCTGCAACTGTGCCCATTGACCTTTGACGGCTGTGACCTCCAAATTTCGGCACAGAAGATGGCTTTTCCTACCATGATGCTATACACCAACTATCGACGAGCCTAAAGGCTGAGCCGTAGAGATTTGGTGCCTGCGAATTCTGCATTAATTCCCTCTCTATACTAAGTTAGAGTGAATGTTCGCCGCCTGTCTTTTACAACATCTTTGACCGTTGACCTTTGACCCCCAGCTTCGACATGCCAACTCGTTTTCGGATTACCCCCCCACGTCCCGAATATCGTGACCGTACGTCGAGCGGTTAAGATTTGTGCCCAACTGTTGACGGACGGACGATCATGCGATTCTACAAGCTGCATCTGACTATGTCAGATGAGCTAAAAAGAAAATAAAGAAGAAGAATTGTTCTACTAAAAAGAGAATTGTCGTAGTCAGAATGAAGGCTGTACATGTACTCAAAAGTGCCTCAAATACCATCTCCTGCAGTATACATTTTCAAAATTTTCTGGAGGAAGACCCCCATACCATCTACCTGTTTTTCACCCCCACCTCCTTGGAATCCTATATCCGCCACTGGACAATTACATATCCTGGGAGCAGAGAACAACGAACAAAAATGTCGCCTTTTCGCATGGCGCCCAAAACAAAGATTGCAGAGCTGAGAAGTTGAGGAGCATGCCATAGGGTGTGGAGAGGGAGACGGAGGAACCATTAAAATATTAGGTCATCCACTATTTTGCGCAGTTCGCTGTTTTTGCCCCCCCCCCCCGTTAAAAAATCCTGGCTACGCCACTGCAGCATGATTTGGTAACATTCTAGCATGACTGCTAGTATAGAATGCATACGTAAAATTAACACGTTCCTGCGTTTTTGGCATTTGATGGCACGGTGGTCACGTAAAGGGTCTTACAACACCTGTAGCTCTCACCAGATGCTTAGCTGCTTCTGGTACTGCAGTCTGTCCCGCACTAAGATCTCGGTATCATGGAACAACTTCACGCACAGACGTGGCCGCAGCTTCTTGTCATGTGGATCGCCGACTTTATCCGGAACAGCCGCAAAGCGATACCTGTTAGGCAATTGGGAAAGGAAGCATCAAGGCAACAAAATCGAACAGTAATTGCAACTAAGTGCATGAACATCTAAGCAGTATACTTCTGCTATATGTTTGAATAGAGGTTCGAACCACTAATAATACTGTCTCTGGCTGGACCTCCATACTACTGCTTGCTTCCATGTTGCACTATTATTTTTGTAATAAATTATTATTCCGTACTATATATGTTTACATCTGCAATATTACTGCGTACTGGTGCCTTTACCTCTAACAGTACACTGTCTACAAGCAGAATCACACGACACAGTACGGTTAACGCCCATACCTCGAATGTCACTCGCTGAGATTCCTAGACATGGGTAATGGTTAGGGCAATACGTTCAGTGCCTTCATGACTATACCTCTCTAGACTCATCTCCATAGGGACAGCCCCTGTTGGCTCCACCTCCTCAGCGAAGACAGTACTGTCGATAAGCAACAGCTTGACGTGTTCTATCACACCCGACATCTGCACACGGACACGGCCCTTCTCTGCTTCCGACCACGTGGACACGGGCTTGTTGATGCCCGTCTGCTGCTTGGCCCATGCCAGGACGGCACGCCACACGTCATTCTCCTCCAGTGCAAGCTGAAGTCCACACCGCAGTTTGTTAAAGGGTGTCTAAGAGTTAATGCTCTCGACATGTAGGCTTACAGCCGGGTCTAATAGTCTTCTTTTTAGCATTACGTTTTGGGTATTACGAGCAATATCGTTATGCTCATGGCAAACTACATGAATCCTATACATGATTTGTTAGACCTTGTGAACAGTTACAGTTTCATTACATATCACATTTTGCACTATGTCACGGTGAAAATATGCAAGATGTTTTATGGAAAAATATATAGATTGAGCACAATACTGTGCATTCGAAGCAAACAGTGGTTACAGGGTAGGCAAATGCTTGCCAAGTAATCAAGAGAGCAGCCCTGTACAGAGACGAGAACCTACCAAGAGGTTTTCCAATGTCGATGAATGCAATTTCTGCAATTGGTACGTGAGAAATAAGCAAAGAGCCACATGAGGAAATATCTGCTTAGAAGGCAAGAGGCTTGAGTGACTTACCTGGTATTCCCTGAGGAAATACGTGGTTAAAAGGCAAGTGTCGAGTGATTTGCCTGGCTAAAGGAACAGAATTACTTGAGACGCTGTTTCGAGCTATCAGTATGTTGACTGGCATACCTGGTCAGAAGACACAAGTCTGATAAGCGCTTCTTTGGGCAGGCGTAGGAAGGACTCTGTGTGAATGCACTCCTCTGCATTCTCCTCTATGTATTCCGCACACCTCTCAACAAACGAGTTATCAGATGAACCTGCGAAAGACGGGAAAACCAGGTAGTTACCTAACACAAACATTGTCACACATTCCCAAAAATCACACGCAAATGTACGTTGAACATATAGAAAATAGTGTGATATACGCAATGCTTACAAATTGGTTGTCAAGTGACTTAAAGAATGGCGTGGGAAAAAAACACAAGCGCCAAATTATTAGAGATATGTGATGTAGACGATAAATCTGTGTACTGTTGGCATGGGTGATTATTCTATAATATTGCTCTGATGCCAAATTCATGCTTAATTAAAGTACAATATAAATCTAGGTGCAATTTGAGACATGAATTTATAAAACCAAGTGTTTCATTTAGGAAACCTTCATGATCATCTGGTTTAATAAATGTGGCTAACCAGAAATTAAAATGAAAAATTAAACATAACAGCTCCCATGGCAAAATGAAAGAAAGAACATTACAGAATCTGTATAGGTATTTCTTAACAAAACAGCTAACTGCAATTAGCTTGATAGTTGTTGTTATAAAGATAGCTGTCATAAGCCAATCACTTTTGAAATATGTGCTCCAAATTTACGTCCCAACTCCAACCGCTGACATTGTATTACATTTCTGTTTAGTACGCGGACAACCACACTGTAGAAACAGCAGGAATAGGAAGCAGGTTCTGCATATATGTACGTTCTGTCCATAAATTCTAACAGGAGGCGAGTCCCACAGGATGTTTATAACACGTACGCTCACTTCCTGGAGTAGGGTGACAGATAGGTCCACACGCGTATGTCCATTCATTCAGGTCAAACATAACCAAGCATCATGGATTGGAAAAGTGAACACAGTGAGTTAGCGCAGCCCATGCGTTGACAGAGCACAACCTAAAGCTTAGACTGTTTCCAGGATGCCCATTGCCGGGAACTGCTGCTCTATATACATTCTGTGAGAGCATCGATACATTCGTGGAATTCATGAGAAGGGAGATGGCCATGCTTGAGGACGAATCGAACCTGGACTGCCTGTGGAAATCTCACCTGTATCAGATGCAGCAGCAAGCACCAGCACCGATCAAAATAGCTTGTCAGGAGGAAGTTCCAAACAGGTAAAAACAATTATAAATAAAAAGTTGTTCGATCGTGCGACAATTAGAACCCGTACCTCGGCATTTTTACAGCGACTGAACGGAAAAGGTTAAATATATGGGTGGATACAGCTGTACTGAGTCAGATGTGACTACCCATGTGAGATTAGAAGTCGAATTTTCGTGCAAGTGGCTATTAGCTCACCCGATCTGTGTATTAGCAGGGAATCTTAAAATGGGGGAGGTCTTCAGAAGGGTTCAATTTGGTCTATTCCACTATTGTAAAATCTACCAGCCTTTTTCTCGATTGCTAGCAACGGTGGTTGAGCTGAGTTGTGCTGTGTCGATTATCAGCAGAATCGATGTAAATTTTGCAGATTCTCAATTTGGTAGCTATATAAAATATCGTGGGTGGAATGTAACCATTTCAGAAATCCGTAAATTCTGATAAAAGTTGCCCATAACCTCACTGTTAATTCCACATACCCTATTCAGAATCACAGATTCCCACAAACTCTACCAATAACCTTGTTTTTAATTACACACGCCCCAATTCAGTACCATAAATTCTGGTAAACGTTGCCATTAACCTCATTTTCAAGTCCACAGATCACATTCAGAACTATAGGTTCCGGTTTACCCTGGTTCCCTGGTTTCCCGTAACGTGGATGACTGCGAGTAGGTCCCCCCCCCCCGCATAACCCTCACCACCACCCCCGCGTAACCCTCGCTGCTGCCCCCGCGTAACCCTGCTGCCTGCCCTCCCCTCTGCTGTAACCCTCACCGCACCCCCGCCATAAACCCGTCGCTGCTGCTCCCCGCGTAACCCTCGCTGCTGCTCCCCTCTGTGTAACCTCACCGCCACCCCGCGTAACCCTCGCTGCTGCCTCCCCTCTGTGTACCCTTCACCGCCACCCCCGCGTAACCCTCACTGCTGCTCCCCTCTGCGTAACCCTCACCACCACCCCCGCGTAACCCTCGCTGCTGCTCCCCTCTTGTAAACCTCACCGCCACGCCCCGCGTACACCATCGCTGCTGCTCCCCTCTGTGTTAACCCTTCACCGCCACCCGCGTAACCTCTCGCGCTGCTGCTCCCCTCTGTTTAACCCTCACCGCACCCCGCGTAACCCTCGCTGTGCATCACCCCGCGTAACCTCGCTGCGTGCTCCCCTCTGTGTATTTTTTCCCCCTCGCTGCCTGCTCCCTCTGTGCTAACCCTGCACCGCCGACCCCGCATAACCCTCACGCCCCCCGCCGTAACCCTCGCTGCTGCTCCCCTGTATGTAAAACCTCGCTGCTGCTCCCTCTGACGTATCCCTCACCGCCACCCCCGGTACCCTCGCTGCTCTGCTCCTCTCTGCGTAACCTCACCGCCGCCCCGCGTAACCCTCGCTGCTGTCCTCCCCTTCTGTGTAACCCTTCACCCGCCACCCCCGCACGTAACCCGTCTGCTGCTGCTCCCCTTCTGTGTAACCCTCACCGCCCACCCTCCCGCGTAAACCCTCGCTGCTGGCTCCCCTCGTGTAACCCTCACCCGCCACCCCCGCGTACCTCCGCTCGGCTGCTCTCCTCTGCGTAACCTTCACCGCCGCCCCCCGCGTAACCTCACTGCTGCTAACCCTCTGCGCTAACCCTCACTGCTGCTCCCCTCTGTGTTAACCCTCACCGCCACCCCGCGTTAACCCTCGCCTGCTGCTTCCACCCGCGTAACCCTCACTGCTGCTCCCCTCTGCGTAACCCTCAACTGCTGCTCCCTCTGTGTAACCCTCCACCGCGCCCGCGCTAACCCTCACTGCTGCTCCCCTCTGCGTAACCCTCACCGCCCACCCCGGCGTAACCTCGCTGCTGCTCCCCTCTGCCGTAACCCTCCACCACCACCCGCCGCGTTAACCCTTCACTGCTGCTCCCCTCTGCGTAACCCTCGTGCTGCCTCCCCTCTGTGTAAACCCTCACCGCCGCCCCCGCGTAACCCTTCGCTGCTGCTCCCCTCTGCGTTAACCTCCCCGCCCACCTCCCGCGAACCGCCTACGCTGCTCCCCTGCTGCGTAACCCTGCACACCACCCCCGCGTAACCCTCACTGCTGCTCCCCTCTGTGTAACCCTCGCTGCTGCTCCCCTCTGCGTAACCCTCACCACCACCCCCGCGTAACCCTCACTGCTGCTCCCCTCTGTGTAACCCTCAACCGACCACCCCCGCGTTAACCCTCGCTGGCTGCTCCCTCTGTGTAACCCTCACCGCAACCCGCCGCGTACCCTCGCTGCGCTCCCCTCTGTGTAACCTCACCGCCACGCCCCGCGTAACCCTCGGCTGCTTGCTCCCGCTCTCGTTAACCCTTCACCGCCACCCCCGCGTAACCCTCGCTTGCTGCTCCACCGCGGTAACCCTGCGCCTGCTTTCTCCCCTCTGTGTTTTCTATTCCCTCGCTGTGCTCCCCTTCTGTTAACCCTCACCCGCCCACCCCCCGCATATACCCTCACCGCCCCCCGCAGTTAACCCTCGGCTGCCGTGCTCCCTGTATTAACCGCTGCTGCTCCCCTCTGCGATCCCTCACCGCCACCCCCGCGGTAACCCTCGCTGCTGCCTCCCCTCTGTGTAACCTCACGCCACCCCCGTGTAACCTCACTGCCTGCTCCCCTCTGTGTAACCCTCACCGCACCCCGCGTAACCCTAGCTGCTGCTCCCCTCTGTGTAACCTCTCACGCCACTCCCCCGCCGTAACCCTCGCCTGCTGCCTCCCTCTGATGTACCCTCCACGCCCACCCCCCGCGTAACCCTCACTGCTGCTCCCTCTGTGTAAACCCTCACCGCCACCCCCCGGCGTAAACCGCCGCTGCTGCTCCCCTCTGTGTAAACCTGCACGCCACCCGCGTAACCCTCACTGCTGCTCCCCTCTGTGTAACCCTCACCGCCACCCCCGCGTAACCCTCGCTGCTGCTCCCCTCTGTGTAACCCTCACCGCCACCCCGGTTAACCCCTCGCCTGCTGCTCCCTCTGTGTAACCCCTCCCGCCACCCCCGCGTCCCCCTCGGCTGCTGCTCCCCCCCCGCGTCACCCTCGCTGCCTGCTGCCCCTCTGTGTCTCCTCGCTGCT